GGAACGGAAGGAAAGGGAAAGTGTGTGGGACAGAGGGAAAAGGAAAGGAAGTGGGAGAGTAAGGGTGTGAGTGAGGGTGGGGAGAGAGGTGTGAGAATAGAGGAAGGGGAGAAGAGCGAAGGAGTGAAAGAGAGAAGTTTGAAGAGTAAAGAGAGTAAGAAGTGAGTGAATAAAAGTCAATTGAAACTCTAACGAAGTCACGTGACTTCAGATTTCGCATTTTTGCAAAATTGAAGGAGTTTCAAACTCTGCCAAAATGGAGTTTGAAACTCCGATCAAATGGTGAAGTCACGTGACTTTACTCTTTCGCGTTCCTGCGAAATTGACAAAATTCAAACTCTGCCTAATCGGAGTTTGAAATTTTTTAAAAAAAAATAAATAAAAAAATAGATAAAAATAATAAAAAATAATAAAAAAAATACTTGTGTTGTGTGTGTGATTTAAAAAGTGCCTTAAAATAAGTTGTGTAAGAGGTGCAAATATAATGCCATAATTTGTTGTAGTTGTAATTGGTGCTTCGATCGGTCGTGTCAACCCGAATCTTGACCCGCTCAGAGTACTAGTTATGAATGTACAAGTTTATTAAAGGAATTCTTATTAAAAATTATGTTTTAATCATTTATAACATTATTTATTTTTATTGCGGTTTTCAAAGAGGTGTGATCCTGTGATTTCGTGATAATGGTATGGTACGGAAAGTTTTCTGTGATTTTAAATTGCCTATCGATCATATTTTCAATCAATGATTCTACATTTATTCGGTCTGTAAAGTTGTTTGCGAATCAAAAAATCTATCAAAATCTTACGAATTCCTATGATCATGATCTGCAGGGAGCGCAAAACCGCCATAACGATTAATAAATATACTTGGTAATTTTATTGTGGTTTGCAAAACTCTGTAACTTCTTAATATATAATAATAATTTAATGGTAAGGCCACGCAAAGTTAATTTTTCGTTTTGCATAACCCGCCGACCCAATTTTTCAAAAAAACTTTTTTTTAAAGTTCCAATTGTCCCAATTATTCCATTTTTGCTATTTAAATATAAGCATGATTCAACTAATTTATAGTAAAAAAATAAAAATAAAAATAAAAAAATCCGACCCGCCGACTGGAATTTCGGAACACCATGTTATGTAAAACGAAAAATTGACTTTGTGTGGCCTAATAAAATAACCTTAATATCTTAGCAAAGTTTATATATTTAATAAGCAAATAAAATAGTAATTTAACAATATATACATTTAGACAATATGTATTTAGATTATATAATCTTACTGTATAAATATTCTGATATTATATAATATTTAATATAATAATCAAGATATGATATATATTGAGAAAGCTTTAAATTATCAAATTTATATACCAAAATAAGTTATAATTTATTGTAAAAGTTTAAATATCTTGTTATATTAAACAAGACTATATCATAATGTCATGTGATATTTTCATATGATATAGAATCATATGAATTATATGCCATATGATATAAGTCATGTCATATTATTAATATATGGCACTTCATATGATATTGTAATATGACAAATTATATAAGTCATGTCATTTATATTTTTTAGGGTTAGTGTTAGAGTTTAGGGTATTTTTTATTATAAACAAGTATAAGTGGGCATTAAGGGTTAAATAGAAAACCCTTATTTCATTTTAGGATTTTAAAAGACATTTATTAATACTATAAACAGTCAAGAAACAAAAAAAAAACCTCATATTAAGAAAATTAATAAATTAATAAATTTACTAAAGAATTCCTTAATATTAACGTTTCAACATTGTTGACACTCTACTATTTGGCACTTCCAGTCACTAATTAATTTTGCTGACGTTTTGCCTTTTTTTTTAACAGAAGTACCCACGTAAGCGGGTACCTCTGTTAAAAAAAATATATAAAGCGTCACTTTAATTAGTAACACAAAAAAAAAATTTTTTTTTAAAAAAAGAAAGAGAAAAGGGTGAAAGGGAGGAACGGAAGGAAAGGGAAAGTGTGTGGGACAGAGGGAAAAGGAAAGGAAGTGGGAGAGTAAGGGTGTGAGTGAGGG